ATAAACTTCTCATAGACGACAATGTACATGTCTCATACTACAATTGAACTTTTCATAGATGACAATGTACAGGCCTCGTACTACAATTAAACTCCAATAGATGACAATGTACAGGTCTCATACTACAATTAAACTCCCACAGATGACAATGCACAGGTCTCATACTACAATTAAACTTCTCATAGATGACAATGTACAGGTCTCGCACTACAAGTAAACTCCCATAGATGACAATGTACAGGTCTCATACTACAATTAAACTTCTCATAGGTGACAGTGTACAGGTCTCATACTACAATTAAACTTCTCATAGATGACAATGTACAGGTCTCGTACTACAATAAAACTCCCATAGATGACAATGTACAGGTCTCGTACTACAATTAAACTCCCCATAGACGACAATGTACAGGCCTCGTACTACAATTAAACTCCCATAGATGACATTGTACAGGCCTCATACTACAATTAAACTTCTCATAGATGACAATGTACAGGTCTCGTACTACAATTAAACTCCCCATAGACGACAATGTACAGGCCTCGTACTACAATTAAACTCCCATAGATGACATTGTACAGGCCTCATACTACAATTAAACTCCCCATAGATGACAGTGTACAGGTCTCGTACTACAATAAAACTCCCCATAACAATGTACAGGTCTCGTACTACAATTAAACTCCCATAGATGACAATGTACAGGTCTCACACTACAATTAGACCCTCTCATTGACGACATTGTAGAAGACCCATACTACAATTAAACTTCTCATAGATGACAATGTACAGGTCTAATACTACAATTAAACTCACCATAGACGACAATGTACAGGCCTCGTACTACAATTAAACTCCAATAGATGACATTGTACAGGCCTCATACTACAATTAAACTCCCCATAGATGACAATGTACTGGTCTCGTACTACAACAAAACTTCCCATAACAATGTACAGGTCTCGTACTACAATAAAACTCCCATAGATGACAATGTACATGTCTCATACTACAATTAAACTTCTCATAGATGACAATGTACAGGTATCATACTACAATTAAACTTCTCATAGATGACAATGTACAGGTCTCGTACTATAATTAAACTTCTCATAGATGACAATGTACAGGTCTCGTACTACAATTAAACTCCCATAGATGACAATGTACAGGTCTCATACTACAATTAAACTTCCCATAGATGACAGTGTACAGGTCTCGTACTAGAATTAAACTCCCATAGATGACAATGTACAGGTCTCATACTACAATTAAACTTCTCATAGATGACAGTGTACAGGTCTCGTACTACAATAAAACTCCCATAGATGACAATGTACAGGTCTCATACTACAATTAAACTTCCATAAATGACGTTGTACAGGTTCCACTACAGCTTCGAAGCAGATATGTATCTAACTCGATGAGTCCTTAGCTTCATTTAACCATAGACCTTAGAAAGAGAGGGACAGGCAACTGGATTATAAAACAAAGGATTTCACGACATCCGGCGTGCAACGTGGGATACTGCAGTTATAAACAAATGACCAAGCTAAGGAAGCCGTATGCCGTCACTCACAATCAATCGGCCGCGCAGTTTGCAACACGTCTTTCAGTGTTTGTGCTCATTACATTGAATTTTTAATTTCAATACAAGATCCATTTTTTGTACTGGTTATTAGGTGATACATATTATATGTAGAGTTACAATTCGTTGTTTTTTTCATCAGTATAAATTAACTACTCGGCTGATTTTATGTGCAGTGACAAATGGATGAATAATACTTATCCTGCGACTGGCACATTTTCGCCAGTTTTCGGGAAAATATAAACACTTGCTGTTTGCATTATCATATTTTTCACTTAAATCATACTATTTTCAATGATACTCGCGTATTTTAGTTTTGCTAGTCTATATTTTAGAATCGTAATTCTGAAATTTTCGAACTGTCTGAAAGGCCGTCTGGACAACACCATGCAGGTCGACGATGAAATGCGATTAAATGTTGGAGTGAACAACTTGAAAATCAGCGTTATTTCAGACGCATGACTCCAATGAATTCTGTGCTCCTAAATTGGTATATTGTGAAAGTGGCCTCAACTCAAAAAGCGAAACCGAACATGGAAGAAGTTGACCTATTGACAGGTGCTCACTGAACTAGGATAGGATATGTTCGTCTCAAAGCAAAGCTGGTCAGTTTCGTTGAAATCCGATTTAAAATCTGCGAGCTTATTTTTTGGCGCGAATAGTTATATTCAATAACATTCGTTCATACGCGCCTGGGCCGATGAAATCCTATTTATGGTGTGAAACCTATATTATTTTATAATCTCACTATTATATATCCCTGCTTTAAACAAGATTACATATGCATGAGAGTGCTCTTCTCACGCGCGGATACAATTCTGGCGTGTTGCCAAACCATGCTGTTATGTTTACGATGTTATGGGTGTGATGGAAATTTGATCTAGTCATCCCGTTTTGAAAGTCTGGTAAAGTTTAGTTTCGTAGACGTATATTACATTATATCTTCCGTCCTAGTTAGATGAAGACGTGGCGAATTTGGTGAGTGCGATTTTAAGTCATATTGGTCAAATCTAAACCTGAGATACCAAACTACGTCATCGTGAGGTAAGGCACTGTAAGCGAACGCAATTGGCTGGGTGGGGCTATTAGACAATATACAGGCATGATAGAACCAAAGGGGTATTCGAAGGGAATCGCCGCATGCCTTGAAAGGGGAGACCCGTACCAGCCGAGGGATAGTGTTATATTGGCAAGGGACGTTGCGTGATTTTAACATTTTATATTAAGAGTGTTGTAAGCAATGATGATGCGTTTAGAGGTTTGGGTTGTTGGAATTACTTACTGTAGATGGTGAAACATTCACTGGGTGAAATGTGGATTTCATGTTGTTGTATATTCACTAGATTTTGTTTTTTAACGACCTAGAAAGCTGCTCGAACTGATAAATATAAAAATACCAATAGGTAATCATAGTCTTCCATAATTATTCAATATACTAGTAACCAAATTACATTTAAAAATCCGTTGTTCGAAATTGAATGAATACAGACGACTGTGACTATATATTATCATTGTTTATACATTATGCTTTAAAGGGTGGTGGTCATCGCGCTGCGCATGTGCGACATTTGTGTTGATTTTCCCACAATCCAATGCGTTCTTCTAATGCAAATCACAAGTATGAGGTTTGACCTGGGTGCGACTTGTACTTCCTTCGATACCTTAAAATCACTTAAAATAATACACAATTTAAGCCTAGTAACGTCTCAGTGTGTACTTGTTGGTCTGCACAGCAGTCAAAGTCGCCATCTTTGTTCATATGAGACCCATATCTCGCGTATGAGAGGCGCGGCAACTACTGCCCTTTAATTTAGCGTATTTGTCAGCAAGAATAAACCCCAGCTACTAATTAAGCCCTTTGTATTTTGTCTAAATTTTTCCAGAGGATTTATTGTACACAGAGAGGTTATAATTATTGTTTTACATCGGTCAGGGGGTGGCCAATAGAAACTTTGGATAGACAGATATTAGAAAAACTACTAGTATACAGAATTCAGTTTTTTTCTATCACTTAATTTTGGAAGCTATATTTTTGTGAGGCTGATATTGGTACAAATAATTTGTTTTTGTTTTTTTCTGTCAAATGTAGGTGTATTTTATAAATATATTTTTTTTCTGTCTCTTCCTTATACAGACACAGTCTCTTAATCTACCCCCTCCCTATTATGGCCAAACGCTTCTACTTGGAATGTGCTGGGGTTACTGCAGATAGCTGTTTACATCGTTTATATTCGTACGAGGAAAAAAAACTGTTGATCCGATATGTACCAATACATGCGTCACACTGGTTTACAGGGGCCATGAAGTGTGCGTTACCACGATGCAGATACCATCTTAAAGGCGAAACCGGTTTCGCGCCATCAACGACAAGCATTCGTTTCTTACATCGACTTGAGTAGACAATCAACTGACCGTAGCGGGCGCTAAATTGTTTTCGACCAGTTTGTTGTCTATTCGAGCCCGTGTATGTATATTCTACGTCCAAAGAGACAAGATGTAACGCTATATCATTCTTTAAATGCATAGATGATGTGTCGAAAATAAGACAATTGCATACTGGTCGACTTAATAAAAACAGATCACGACCACATTACGGAAAATACACCATTCTTTGAATACTCTAGTGACAGAGCGCTTCTGTGACGTCAAAATGACGTACTTGGGTGTAAGTAATGTCGTTCAAATTGACAACCGTGTTCAGTTGCGAAGTAATTCGTCACCAAGAATTCCGTAAAGTCTCTCTCTCAAACAAATATTCATTGATGACGACTTCAGATAAAAACGAACGGCTTTCGTGTGGCCCATTTACGTCATAGGAGCGCGTTGTCGCCTGAGGGCACTATTTACAGAAAAGGTGTATTGTATTGACTATTTGAAATACATTTGTTGGAACTAAATTTGTACTCACCACAGCGTTAAATCAGTAACAATGGCCCAGGAGATATGTCCCGATAACAAAAATACGAATAGATAAAATAGTACGATCCAATGCACCGTACTGAAATGTTATTATTATACATCTGTCACCGTAACGCCATAAGTTAGAGCGTGCGGTAATTTTGCGGTATTTTACGGAGTATTTCATCCTACCATATAAGGAAATGTGTATTCCAAATATGGAACGATTACGCGCGTAAGTGTCCTCTGATAATAAAAACAAACATGGCTGCCACCAAACTTTGACCGGATTCCACACAAAGAAGTTCGCTGATTCTGTTCTAAACATTTTGGATTTCGGCATTCCCAATAGTGTATACTTGGAGGGAAAAAATAATGTTATTACGAGGATACCTCAAAGTATGCACGAAGACAGTATGCCGGATTTCACTTATCGGTGAAAATAGCGGAATTTAAACTCAGTGATTAATGAATGAGTTCACAGTACATCGTGTATGTTACCGGTTATTTGATATACATTTTTTTTTTTACATTTTCGGGGAAAAAACCTCTCAGATTTATGAACTATTGTAAGTATATTTAAATTTGCACACACACAAAAACATTGTTACTTTTCAGTATACGTGTGAGGTTTGTTTTAAATAATAAAACGTCCCTGGTGTGAAACACGAGGTGGTGTGTTTGTATTTAAAATGATAGCTCGAGTCCATGGACTTTCCGATGTGCTTACCTAAGGGGTTGACCACACAAATCTGGAAGCGGGGATAGTATGAATACTTTCCCTCGGTTAATTTTGTAGATTTTTTTCAAGATGCTTTACTCTTCAAATGTGTGTGGGTCTTTTTTACCATGTGTTAACTGTTTCCATGGTTACCTGTTATTGAACTTTAATGGGTGGGATTGAGAGGGAGGGGTTAAAACATTAACATTGATAGCAAATTTATAAGCCCTCTCCGAGAGTGCCAGGATGCGCGACTTTTTCAGTTGGAGGTAATGCGCAAGACCGTCGTGATCTTTGCGGAGTTGTCAATATAAATATAGGCACACTGTAACAGTACTATATACAATTTCCGATATAGTTTTTTTTTTACCATAGATGTACTAAGAAGTGCTTAGAAGTACATCTTAGTACATCCATGGTTTGACACAATACACATCCACGCCCACCCGTGTTCTGTTTACACGCTGGGGTCGATTTCATCACCTTAGTGATATTCTAGCCCGATTTCTTACATCACTGGTATTGTCAAACTTTAGTTTTATCAATTTTATAATATTCCATCACAATTTTTGGCGAGTATTTCTTGCCATGCACACTGCGAATCAAAGTAAATACGCCTCGCGGTTATAACCAACTATAATTATACACTGTAAGGCGGTCACGGTGGCGCATTTACATGTTTGTACCTCAACGATAGCCCTGAAAAAAACACACGCTGTAACGACGTTGCAGGTGACACATGTGTGTTGGCGTTTCATTCGATCATCATCCGTAGATTTCCCATTAAAAATAAAATCCCGTGTTTTGTTCAATGTTAACTTTATAATCGGATTTGGTTGTGGTATTATCTCGTCGACCTTTCGGGACAAATGAAGGATAGACCACATGCGCCCAAATTGAAGATAGGACGGCCATAATCGCACGTATTATTTGTAAATAATAAAACCTAATTTAATTGTATATTTAGCATTGTTCGCAGTCTATCGACTATATTGTTAATGAAACAGACTTCACACTACTACGTCAAAGAAATTAACGTGATAATAATTTGAAACTATATAAAAAATGTCCGATAGTAGATCAAATTACTGTTTTTTTAGTTTACTGATAAGGAGCCGGCGAGCGCGGTTAATCAAGCTTGGGTGCATGTACCACAATGAAGCTAAATTTATATTTTTTGTAGTGGTTTGTGGTATTACTGATGTGATTTCACCATGGACCTTCTCTTTTTAAGGACTACGGTCTTACTGAATCAGAATATGTAGCTTACATTTTTGAAGTGAGAAATTCGGAACTGGCTAGCTGGCCAGTCGATGTTTAGTTCTGGATCCGTGATAATTCAAGGTGGGAATGCTACAACTTTGTCCTTGCTGATTTACCATTGGCATGACCACTGTGTTTCACCCAAGTATTCAACCTCCCGATATGCCAGGACAATTAGTATGGTAGTACTCGTTCATTTCAGCAATCCAACCTAGGTAAAATGTGAAATCTCAATAAATTGAATTGGGTTGAAATTGTTGTAAAATATGTGTATTTAGTGGTATTTATAGAACCTGTAATTGATTTTAAAACTAAGTCTTAACCGGAACCCGTTTGTCAAACACTCACTGAGATTTCCGGCGGCTTTACAATATGGTTTAGAACGATTTTAATTCCGGTGTCACCTGGAATGATTCCAAGAGTTTCAGACTATCCTAACCCCCAAGGGAGCATATACAGATACTCATTGAACCGGACGTTGCTTACAGAGCAGTGTGTTACTATAAAATGTTAACTAACGTTTGTATAAATTTTCGGATTTACACAACAACAACAACAACAAAAATAAAAAAGTTCGACAATAATTGCGGTCTTTCGATTCAGATTCAGATTCAGATTCAATATTTAGATAATAGTGTTCCAATAAACAATGTGACACTTTCATATGAAATTACATATATGCGCAGTAACATGCTCAGTAGTTCAAAAAATCAAATTTGGCCAGAAACTAATGAAGATTGAAATAAAAGTAGCCGGTGTACTGTCAGCATATTATTTATTCACCGAGTTTTAATTTCAGCTGATTCGCTGATAAACTAAATTAAAACTACGTGAACATGTTGTACAATTACATTAGCCCATTTTTCACTGTACTATAATTAGAAATATCAAAATAATTAATATAAATACTAGTGAACAATAATGATTTTACCCTATATCCAATGACGTCACGATTGAACGCATTAATGTCTTTAGTTTATATGACGTCATCACTGAGTGCATTAATACTTTCACAGTTTATCCAATGACGACATCACCGAGTACGTTAATACTTCTACAGTTTATCACCGACATCACTATGTACGGTACAAAGCAAATCTCTAGAAGGTGCGAACCATTCTTCTAAACCATTGAACGCCCTAAAAATGATGAAATTGCTGAGGATGGTACACAGATTTTAGTAAAATCTTTTATCGATTTTCCACACGAGTCAAATTTAGATTTAATCCAGTGCATAGTATCTAGTCACATCACAACTATCAGTTAATTATTGATAAAATGTGAGATAATAATTTAGAAATGTTCTAATATCTTGGCCAGCTTCCAAATTAGAAGCAACAGTGCACGTAACAATGAGACAGCGGCCTTGAGAACAATGGAATTGCTATTAAAAATATATGTAAAAGTTGTAGTGTTTATTGCGACTGTACACGGCGTGGGACCGCGACCAACCACCATGGGCTCCGACCATTTACGTTCGGCTGTGTGTGCGGTTGTGAAATAATTATAACGGAGAACAATCGATTTAGTTATTTGACGATATACATGATGCATATCGACCGCCTCTTATCTAGACGCATTATTAAAGACTGATTTCCGACCACAGGTGTCACCGTTTGCAGAAAGTAATCACAGCTTAATAACTCGGCTCTGGCAAATTTGATAGAGTGGAGTGTGGTTTACTTTTTGTTCTGCGCACTGTATTTTTATTTGCGTCTCGTTATTTAGGCCAGATTATCTGCGGTTAACCCTTATAGAATTTCGAGGTAATTTATGGAAACGTATAATAACACGTGACGCGACAGCTCTTGTGTATGCCCGAGGCAAAGGGCGAATCAATGAAACCACAGTGCGAACGTCATCACGATTTTACATGAGCGGTGTGATTAAGTTCGATAAGGCATGATCGAAATATGATCCGCCTCCACCAATGACAAGCTAGACAACGAAACACGCCTGTAGGCAGTAACACCTCCCAATAGTAAATATATGGATGTATATTTCTTTTCATTTAACTTATAGAGTTTATAATTAAGCGTTCAACGATATGCTTCGCAAAGACCACGAGTATATTTAAATAACGTGCCCAGCCCACGAGCAATGATCGACAGAGATAAGCACCAGTTTTTAAGGGTTGAACTAAAAGGTCGCCCTCTTGCGATTGATAGAAACATGATCATGAACCAAGAAACTTTTAATATCGAATACTTGTATTTGATAAACTTCTGCGTTCGCAAAAAAGGTGTTTAGAGAGTACCGATCAGAAAGCAGCTTGCTTGCTTGCTGACAGTTGTTTTTCGTCGTATAAAATTCTTCTTTGTGTATATATACTATATATACGTTCAAAGTACCTATTTGACCGTCGTATAAATATGATATGTTGTTTATTTGTTTGTTATTTATTTATTACGCAGATCAACAGGCAAAGAACTAAACCAGCAATAGTGTGAACCAGGCAAGTGGGAGAGTGCCACAGTCTTACTAGATGTCATTCTCCAAACCAGAAAAGGTGTGAACCAGACAAGTGGAACAGCGCAACAGTTCTACTGGACATCATTCTCCAAACCAGAGATGGTGTGAACCAGACAAGTGGAA